TGTACTATATTTGAATTTTATAAATTCACCTGTAGTCATGAAATAAGAGATTTAATTGTTTTGAACTGAAATGAAATAGCAACAAGCTTTCCTAGCTTAGTTGCTTAGACTAGGAGTGGCCATCGATCGGTTCGGTTCGGTTGTGAATGTTATCAATTCGGCATATCAGTTATCGATTTATAAATATATTAAACCGATAAGATATCGATTATCGGTTAGTCGGTTATCGATCCTTATCAGTTCGGTTATCGATTTACCCGATAAAAATAAAAAATATCCAAAAAATTTATGTTTTTATTGTAGAAATCATGATCATATTGTTAAGAAAAGAGGGATTAAATTTTCTTTAAAAAAGAAAATTTTCTTTGCATTTTTAAAATTCCAATGAATGATCTCAATTTTCAAAGTTATAAGTTAGCAGGAGTAAGGAATAAGACATTCAATAATATGATCTTATTAACTATCTCATTGCGGGCGGACATAATTTACCAAAAAATAATAAAATTCTAATCTTGTAAATACTAAAGAATTAGTGCAACAAAAGAAACAAATAGAAAAACTAAAAATCTGAACAATTAATTCTTTAAAGTTTAAAACAAAAAATCTTAACTGAATAATTGTGATGAGAAATTAAGAGAAGTTTAAAACTTATTCTAAAGATTAAGATCTGAAAATGAAGAGTAACTACCGAAAGAATTGAGAAAATGAAGCCATAAGGTGGCTTTATATACTTAGTGAGTAAAATTATAATTTTGCTAAAACTTATTGGCTATCAGTTAAACTATTAATAAAATTGGACAAAGCAAGACCAGAACTGTGATGATCCAAAATATCATCTTTAAATTAATTAATTAATTATGTGTTCTAAGACCTCAAAAGCACTATTTATCATTACTCGACTTGTGTGCGCAGTCCGTAAAATTTTTCGAAAAGTTTTTAGGTAAAAAATGGATTAAAATATGAATTAGAGCTTTAAAACTCAACTGAGTTGACTTTGGTCAACATTTTGAGTAAACGGAATTGGATCAGTGTTGTGACAGTTCCGGTAGGTCCGTATCGTGATTTGAGACTTGGGCGTATGCCCGGAATCAAATTCTGAGGTCTCTAGCCCGAGATATGGAATTTTGATGAAAAAAATTAAAAGTTTAAGTTCAAATAGTGATCGAATGTCGAATTATGTGCAAACGACTCCGGAATAGAATTTTAATGATTCCAACAGTTTCGTATGGTGATTTTGGACTTAGGAACGTGACCAGAATTTTATTTGGAAGTCCATAGTGAAATTAGGCTTGAAATGACTAAAATAGGAATTTAAGTTTGGAAATTTGACCGGGGAGTTGACTTTTTGATATCGGGGTTGGAATCTAGTTCTGAAAATTTTCACAATTTCGTTATGTCATTTATGACTTGTGTGCAAAATTTGAGGTCAATCGGACTTAATTTGATAGGTTTCGATATCGAGTGTAAAAGTTGAAAATTCTTGAGTTTCATTAAGCTTGAATTAGGGTCTGATTTGTGATTTTAGCGTTGTTTGATTTGATTTGAGGTTTCAAATAAGTTCGTATGATATTTTAGGACTTGTTGGTGTATTGGGTTGAGGGCCTCGGATGAGTTTCGGATGGTTAACGGATCAAAAGTGGGACTTAGCTGCTGCAACTTTTCTGCTGAAAATGCTGTCAAAATCGGGCTGCCTGTCAAAATCGAGTTGCCTGTCAAAATCGGGCTCCCTGTCAAAATCGGGCTCCCTGTCAAAATCGGACTCCCTGTCAAAATCGGGCTCATTGACAAATTGGGCTCCCTCACATATCTATAAGTTATATAAACAGGAGACTTCGTCCCATTTGCCATTTTTGACGAATTGGAGCTTGAGGAAAGACGATTTTGATATATTTTCAAGGAAAAAATATTGGGGTAAGTAATTCTAACTCGGATTTGGTCAATATACACGAATATATCATTGTTTTCACCATTTAATTAGTGTTTTGAGATAGAAATTTGAGAAACATTTAGAAATCTCATAAAAATGAATTTTTGAGATTTCGGTGTCGATCCGGAGTCGGATTTGAGTGAAACTAGTATGGCTGGACTCGTAATTGAATGAGTTATCGGATTTTGTGGGTTTCGCCGGATTCCGAGATGTGGGCCCATCTTTGAGCAAATTTCGGATTTTATTGAAAAATATAGTATTTTCTTATGAAATTGATTCCTATAATTTTTGTTGACTGTATCGAATTAATTATGACTAGATACGAGTCGATCGGAGTCGAAAAATCGAGAAAAAAATATAATACTTGGTTAAATTGGAGCAAGTCGAGGTAAGTGACTTGTCTAACCTTGTGTGGGAGAAATTTCTCCCAGGATTGGTATTAATGTGATTATTGAAATGTGTTAAAAGTCGTGTACACAGGGTGACGAGTGTGTACACGGGCTAAATGTGAAAGATTATATTTTTAAATTGTGTAGATCACTGTTGCGCATTTATTAAATTATTTTATCTTGTTATATTCTTCATCATTGATCTGAAATATATACCCTAAATTTGTTTGACCTTTTTCTGCTAATTTTTTTTACCTGTTTAGTTGAAACTTGGTTTCTTTTATTCTGTGTATTATTTGAAGATTGATTTTTTTTAAATTAAATATTATTAATATGAAGTATTTAACATTTTTAAATTTGATATTGAAGCAACTTATTAAAGATTTTGAAATATTATTTTCCTGAATTATTTATTCCTGAATATTTTTGTAAGATTTTCGTACTCATTGTGATGGAGCCATAAACTCTTTATTGTAAAAAAAATATTGTTGTTGAATTATTTTGGCAAGTTAAATTATTTGAGCACTTAAGGTGCAAATTGTGATATTGATATGCATGCGGTGGTATACGGTCTGGGTATTGAAACGCATGCGGTGAGACAAGGGTGGCTTGATACACGTGGCTAGTAAGGGGAACTACTAGAAGTCATGCAGTGTGATAAAGATGGCTAAAACGCGGGATGCTATTTCGGGAAAAATATTTTCTTTCAAATAAATTGTGAGGGCTCCTGCGGTGAGATAAGTAAATGAGATATTATGAATTTATTTATGATTTGGGACTACGAGGCGGTACCTCGGGAGTGCCCTTGTTGATATTGATTTATGGCCGTAGTTGCCTTTGATTATTATTGTGATTTTCATAAAATTGAAGAAAATTNTATTTTCTTTCAAATAAATTGTGAGGGCTCCTGCGGTGAGATAAGTAAATGAGATATTATGAATTTATTTATGATTTGGGACTACGAGGCGGTACCTCGGGAGTGCCCTTGTTGATATTGATTTATGGCCGCAATTGCCTTTGATTATTTGTTGTGATTTTCTTGAAGTTGAAGGGAAATTTTATTTTGTTTTCACGAGATATTAATTGCCATTATTTGGTATAATTAAATGTGGCATACTGCTTGATTCATTTTCATTGTCATTTTATATTATTATATTGTTTAAACATTTTACCATGTCATTATTTATTCTCCAGTAGGGTCTGGCCTGACCTCGTCACTACTCTACCGAGGTTAGGCTTGGTACTTACTGGGTACCGCTGTGGTGTACTCATACTACGCTTCTGCACATCTTTTTGTGCAGATCCAGGTACATCTTATCAAACCAGGCATCAGTAAACTAACTGTACGAGGAGACTTCGAGGTATATCTGCCAGCGTACGCAGACTCTGGAGTCCCCTTCTATCTTACTATGTTGTCTTCCTTATTTGTTTTATACTCTGATGTATAGAGACATGGAGAATAAATTCTTAGAAGCTTGTGACTTATTTCTACCGAGTTTTGGGAGTTGAAATTATTTGAATTGTAGTTTATTTATTTCAGATATTTATTATTATTCCACATTGATAAGCTTACATAGTCTTAGAGACTAGGTGCCATCACGACATCCTACGGAGGGAATTTGGGGTCGTGACAAGAACCGATAACCCAATAATCGAATAACATTAAACCGTTATCGAACTTTTTACCCAATAACCCGATATCGATAACCCAATAATCGAATAATATTAAACTGTTATTGAGCTATTTACCCAATAACCCGATATCGATAACCCAATAGCATTTTATCGGTTCAGGCTATCAGTTATACCCGATATATGCCCAGCCCTAGCTTAGACCACCCGCTTAGTAAGCTGAGGTCGTGAATTTTCTGTATTTCTGTATATGCCCAGCCCTAACTTAGACCACCCGCATTCGATTTTTCTGTATTTTATTTTGATTGTATTCGTTGCTCGAACAAATACAACTTATATGAATACAATCCACACATATTGTATTCCTTGTATACACCCTTATATTTCGTCTTGGTTGTATTTGTTGCACGAACAAATACAGTCGATACAGATTGTTTTTGTTGCGCGAACGAATACAATTGATACAGGTTGTATTCGTTGCACGAACGAATACATACGACACAAGCCGTATTCGTACATGTATTTGTTGTGCGTCCGAAAATAAGTGATACAAATTGGTAACAATTGAACAATAGCTACAAATGGTAATTAGATAAAATATAGTTACATATGATAATTAGGCTCTAAATTGCACTACTTTACTAAAGATTCCTAAAAATAATACTACTATTTCATCTCTCACGTTCAGCTCATATTAGTAGTAATAAACAAATGCATAGTAATACAAATATATTTATAAATATAAAATTCAATAATCTTGAGAATTAAAGATCTTAAGAAGAGATTAAAGACAAGGACATAAACGTAAAATCATGAATTCAGACAACCTTACCTTCAGGCTTCAACAGCGCCCGGTCGTGTACTGAACTTCAATAACATAATTTCCCCCAATTATCTTTTTCACTATTCTCACCCTCCATTCACCGTCACACAACTTTCAACCAATCAAACTTACTGTTTCGTCAAATAATATCACCAACATGTAATCCTAACAAGCCTTGTACAAAATATATAAAAATGAAGAGAGAGAAAAAGAAGAAGAATGCATTATACATAGATAGAACTTAGAAAAAAAATAAAATAAAATAACAGTGCCTTTGTTTTTCTGATGGCAAAAAACGGTTCACTACTCCATTACAGAGAGAGAGAGAATCTGAATCTGTATTGAAAGATTATACGTCGTCGTTTTTGATTTGGAACTTCGTAATGATTGAATCTGAATCCAAAATGTTTTTTTCCTATGAAGTTTTTACGATCTTCTTCTGACGATCGCTTTTTGATGAAGTGACTGTTTTGTCCTTCCGATTCTAGAACCTTCCATTTGATTCGGAGATATTTGATTGTTTTTATTTTTGGCTGTTGATTTTTTTGGGGGAAACTATAATGAAAGGTGGTGTTGGTGGAGATGTCGCGGCAGCTCCGGCGGGTCCACCACCGTCGCCGTCTCTGGAATGGAAATTTTCTCAGGTTTTCGGTGAACGTACGGCTGGAGAAGAAGTGCAGGAAGGTAATTTTGTTATTGCCGCACTTCATTTTTTACTCCTGCTGGATCCGTGCTCATTTTGGTATCCGTGTACATATTAGGGTTTGCTTATAGGATTTTGATCTGTTATTTGGTCGTCAATTGCGTGAAATATAATTTGTTAATATGTGAGTAGAGCGAATCTGATAGATTCTGATCGTGGATCTGATTGATTGATTTGCATGTTGATTTTGATCAATCGAATTTATGAACAGTATTGTAGTGAACTCAACCAAGTTTATTTAACTGTAGTGTGCTGGTAATATTTTTCTTTTTTCTTTTTTGAACTTTGCTTGCAAGCATCAGCAGTAAATTACTAAATTTGTAGTGTGAGCTTCTTAATTGTTAATTTGGGTCATGTATTGCCATAGAGTGTACGTGTTGAAGCATGTATACTTGAATGTAAATCAGAAGGGTACAAATCCCTAGATTTGCAATGTGCATATGTATGTCAGTATGTGGTACTTCTACTTCTGTCTTGGAAAAGTTTATTATTGTCGTGAACTGGACGTTCTATTTACCAATTTGTATTGGCTGAGGTGGGAGTTAGAGTCAGGGCCAATAATGGTGAAGGTAGGACTAGCACTTTCTGTAAATTGTGGAAAGGCTCGAGATTTCCATGGGGATTTAGGCTTGGATTAGGCCAAGTGATTCATCAGAAGCTTACTGAGTTCTGTAGTATGTTATATAGGCTCTCGCATAAGTACTTCACATCAAGCTAGAGTGCTAAAGTCAAGGTTATCCAACTGTAAAATTGGTTGAAGAAGGGTCCCAGGCTAAGTAGGTAAAGGCCAAATACGTGTTGCTCTCTACAGATACTAGATTATGCTTTGATACCCTTGTGTAGAAATTTTCTGATTTTATTGCCTAAGGATGAGTATCAATGTGAGAGTATGACCTTCAGTATACGGCTAAAATAGGGCGCAGGGTAAATATAATTCAAATATGTATTAGCATTAAAACCATATGTATTACATCTCTTTGGAAGTTGGTTTTAATTGATGCGTGTTTCTAAGAGACGAGGCTTGAATTATAGTCTGTCATAGCATGAAATTGACTTTAGGATTTTACTTGTGAACTAATTGATTCTCTTCATAGGGTATGGAGTGTCATCAAAGTCCATCTAAAATTAAACCACACTTAAAGATGTTTTATTGGCTTGCATTTTTTCCTTCTCTTTTGCCACATGGTTTAGTGGTTACAAGCATGGAGATTGTGGGCACTGGAACTAAAGAAGGTATGAATTCTAGACGGATAGTTGAAGTTTTTCAAAGAGGGCTAAATATCAACACCGCTAATCAGAGAAGTCCTTGTACATGAAATTAGTTTTCTTGACTCGTGGTTGTCTTCTTATTGCGTCTAAACCATGTTCATCTACAATGACTGCTCATAGTATCTCTAGCTCTCTGGATAGCCCTGTCTATGGAAACACCAAATTCAGATTAACTTTATTTATTACTAGCATTTATGCCCTAAATTAAATTCATGAGTCAAATCCCATCAGTAGCAACCTTATTTATATATAGAGTTTCGGGTGAGATTTTTGTATATGTTTGAAATAAAATCTGTTCAATATTACCTCAAGCAACTCAAGATTTTATTTTACGCATTATTCCAGAGCTATTTCTGAATGCTACCATGTTATGATGGTTGAAGATACTTAAAGGACACGAGATAGCAATCGTATTATCCATATGGATGGGTGTTGTTTCAAACGACCTACAATCTCCACGTGGACCTAGCTAAAAGTAGAATACAGTGGGAGAATCCATATAGGTATTACCAATTAGTTGGGATTAAAGCTTATTTGTTTTTGCACGTACATAAAGCTTTTGGTTGGTATTTGTCGAGGACAGAATCTTCTTAGTCTTGTTAGATACTTGCATATCAATATAGGGGTAAGTGAGATTTTATATGTTGGTGTTTGACTAGGCATGGAGTTTAAGAAAGAAAGAAGACTTTTGAACTAAAATAGTACCCTTGGAACTTGTTTTATGTAAACATGACACAACACTTCTATGCCTATAAGAACATCTGAACATGTCATTAAGGATAAAATGGGAAGTCTATAGTTTAAGAGTGTACAAAATAGAAAGATACTATCTTTTAGAAGAGACTAAAAAGAAAAGATATTTAAAATGGAACAGAGCGCGTAATAGAAAGAAATGGGTTCAAGAAGAAGCAGAATGGATATAGAGCATTCATATAGGATGCCAATTAGCTTGAATTGTTGATTGACTGATTGACTCTATAGTTATTTTTATGGGTGCCAATATTCATTTTCTCAGGCATTTAATCATGAAGGCTTTTAGTGAGTTCATTTAGTAGACTTTATATTTTCCGGGTAATTAGTAATTTATGCTGATATAGAGAAATCCAGAATGAAAAAGCAAGGAATTGAGAATGCGTTACTCAAAACTGTGCAATGATTCATCTTCATAATCCGGTGCCCTGCATTGTATAACATAGTTTGACTACTAATAATAGGTACTTCATGTTATCAGAAAGTACTTGTTGAGCCTTTTGTTTCAAGCTATAATGTAGATGGGCCTAATATTATAAAACAGCATCCTTAGATCAAAATGCATTAGAAATGCAGCTAATGTGCCTGAACTTATGCAAGTTCCACAAATAGTGGAGAACTTCTATTAGGCTCACTATGTTTGATTGTTTAATGCACGCCTTTCTTTGACTCTCATGATGTATGTATTTGTCTTCGTGATTGCAGTTGATATCATTTCAGCAATTGAGTTTGATAAAACTGGTGACCATCTTGCCACCGGGGATCGTGGGGGTAGGGTGGTATTATTTGAAAGGACCGATACCAAGGAGGTGGGTTTCTTCTGTTTAGTTTTAGAATGTTTAGTTACTGTAGAATTGATTGTTTTGATGATCATTCTTCTGCATGCATTGTTTTCTTTAGCATGTTGGAAGTCGACGAGAGTTAGAGAGAGTGGACTATCCAGTCAGTCGGCATCCTGAGTTTCGCTACAAGACAGAATTTCAAAGCCACGAGCCTGAGGTACACACCTCTTCTCTGTTCTTTGCTCTTCCTTTTTTCGCCGTATTTGTTGGTGTAATTTCTCTATAGGAAACTCATGAATGATGAACTTTCCTGGAAACAATCATACAAAAGAACTTCAGGATGATGTTATTATTCTATTTCATGACTTTGGAAAGAAGGGGTCCTTCAAGCTGCCTGATTCCTCTGTCAAGATGCAACTGTGGACTGAATGCCTCCTCTATGCTATGTCGCATTCCTCCATCTGCTCTGTTTTCTTTTTTTTTTATTGCTTCAGTAGAATTATAATTTCTTCTGCCGCATCTTTCCATTCAGTTTGATTATCTGAAGAGTTTGGAGATTGAGGAGAAAATCAACAAGATCCGATGGTGCCAAACAGCAAATGGTGCCCTCTTTCTTCTATCTACTAATGACAAAACTATCAAGTATTGGAAGGTAAAATCTTTTTATTGACTCGCTTCTCTCTGATTCTTGGGTATTAATGCATTGTAGAGTTTTGGTTGCTTGCTCAGTTTATCTAGTTAAATGAAAATGAGTTCTTAATCTTTTGTAAATTATTTTCTAGCTTAAGCTACATAACTGCTTTATTGGGGAACGATATTAATAGTTAATTTCAAGGTTGTAGTTTGACACGATCTCTTTCAACTTCGTTGTTGTATTAAAACACTGTTGTGGTAAATGGAATGTTGATACATGATATGAATTTGTTTGTTGGTGTAATGCCTTTGAACAGTGAGATTTGGCTGAACAGTTTGCCCGAATTGTTTGCAAAATATCTTTCTGCTCATAGTTTTGTATCAGCGATGAAACAACTCCTTCGTTCGTGATATAAATGTAAAATAATCAAGATATGATGTATTTCTTAAACCATCTACTTCTGAATGTGGCTATCTTATGTCACGGCTGTGTATCACTTTGCTGATTTCCTTTCAAATTGCTTTTTCCTGAATATTTCAGATCCAAGAGAAGAAAGTTAAGAAAATATCTGAAATGAATATTGACCCTTCCAAAGCTGCTGGAAATGGCAGTGTAACCAGTTCGAGCGTATGTTCCAGCCCAAACCAGTGTCTTGCAAATGGGGGCTATGGAGATAAATCGTACAGTTCTTTGGGCAATGATTTGTCCTTTCCACCTGGGGGAATCCCCTCACTACGTTTGCCGGTGGTTGTTGTACTTGCTTAACCTTTTATATTATGTTTTTTATGATGCTGATGACATGTCAAGTTTGTTAATCTTTAGCCTATCAATTATGTGCATTTTTCTTTGGTGTCTTTAGACTTTGTCTAATCATAATGTTCGGTTTTATAAAATATATGTTCGAACTAAGGTATTTTAGATTTAAAAAAATTCCATGGAGCTGTAGTTTTACTGGATTGATGTATATGATCGTTTTATACTCTAGGTTATTTGAAGGATGCTTTATACTATGTCTGCAACTTCTTTTAACTATGAGGCAGAGTATAACAGAAAGATTAGGCCATTTATGTATGTCTATTTATTAAAGCTGGAATTAAATATACAAGCTAGCCTTTATATGCATAGGCCCTTTACATCACTTTTAAATGTCCATATGTGCTTGCACGAATATCGGCCCACACACAGGTGCTATTGTCCTTGAAATGTCAGGCATGGATTATCTTAACATTCACCTCCCTTGTGCCTTGAATCTCTTCTTGTGGGTATTAGGAATTTCCAATGACTGTAGCCTACCTCCTCCCTAGGATAGGCGTTGTTTTTTAATGAAATTGTCTTGAATATCTTTTTAACTCTTGCATCTGCATCTAAAAACTTTGTATGTGAACTTGTAGGTTACAAGCAACGAGACCAGCCTTGTTGCGAGGTGTAGAAGAGTGTATGCACATGCTCATGACTATCATATCAATTCTATATCAAATAACAGGTGAAGATCCTGTTTACAATAGTAAATCTGCTTCACCTTCTTCTGAGTCCAGTCTATCAGAGCTTATGAAAATTTCTGTCCTTTTCTTTTCTATTTAGTGATGGCGAAACATTCATATCAGCCGATGATCTCCGAATAAACCTTTGGAACTTGGAAATAAGTAATCAAAGTTTCAATATTGTGGATGTCAAGCCAACAAATATGGAAGATCTTACTGGTACATTTTTCATGTGTTGATTTTGACTTAGATCATAGTCCCCCCCCCCCTCGCCCCCTTTGACTTTCACTACTATAGAATATGCTTGTGTTTTTCGGCAGGTACTTAGACCTTAATTAGATGTTTTTTGTTATTGCAGAGGTGATAACTTCAGCAGAATTCCATCCTACACATTGTAACATGTTAGCTTATAGTAGTTCAAAAGGATCAGTTCGTCTAATAGATTTGCGGCAGTCAGCATTGTGTGACTCACATTCTAAATTGTGAGTATCACAGCAATTGTTTTGTCTTTCTGTTCTGCTGGGCGTATTTCTCTTACGCTGTCTCTACATTGAAACGAACTTTTAACTGCACATGATAGTATCCTGGAAGATCTAGGTGTTGTCAGCGTGGGAGCACTGGAAAATGTATTTTTCAAGTTCAGAGTTTGTATTTTGAATTAGTTTTTCATAGCTTTTGATAAATTGGGAATTCTGGTGTTCCCTGTATGCAGGTTTGAGGAACAGGAAGCACCTGGTTCAAGATCTTTTTTCACTGAGATAATTGCTTCAATTTCAGATATTAAATTTGCAAAGAATGGACGATACATACTTAGTCGTGACTACATGACCCTTAAGGTTTGTTTCTGTTTGTTTTTTTCTGGATTTCCATATTCCAGTCAGTGAACGGAGAGGTGCACAGCTTAATTGCTTATGCACTTCGCGTTCATATTATTAAATCAGTAGAAGGCATGTCTTGATCTGTAAAAGAGTGCCTATGTAAAGCAGAGTTTGAGAAGGTGATGTAAGAATGGCCATGTCCTTCCTTGGACACATTACAAGCAGTTGTTTTGGGGTTTCATGCTTATTAATAGTATGCCTCATGGTAAACTCCATACAGCGTCAATTGCTTTTTAAAATGCGAAAGTACTCTTTACATTTGGAGTTTTTCTTGAGGTACTAATTTTAAAAAATGTCTTTATTGTTTCTAGAGACTGTTCTACGTCGTTGTGTATGGTACTTTCTGTTCCTTCCGTCCCATTGGCAAACTTAACATATCCGAAAAGCAGTTTCTCTGTGTGTGTGTGTGACACGCCTACACGGAGTAGGTCTAGTTTTTTCTAGCTATGGTGTAGGAAGTTTATGTTCTTTCCATCTTTGTCAGTGAAATTTCATTTTTTATCAACAAAAATTGTTCCTTTTGATACTGAGCAAGCTTTATTTTATCAGCTATGGGACATAAACATGGATTCTGGTCCAGTTTCAACATTCCAGGTTCATGAATATTTAAGACCAAAGGTGAATTACCCTCCCCATCAAAGTGTTATGTGAACTTGGTTATCCTTTTACAGGTCGAGCTGATAATTAATGCATTTTCTATTTTGTGCAGCTTTGTGACTTATACGAGAATGATTCCATCTTTGATAAATTCGAGTGTTGCCTTAGTGGTGATGGTATGCGAGTAGCAACTGGATCTTACAGGTCTCTGGAATTTTTCAGCTTTGTTTTACATATCATTTTTCCACCTCTTCATTTTTTAAACAAATGATTACTATCATATCAGCAATCTTTTCCGCGTGTTTGGTTGTCCTCCGGGGAGCACTGAAGCAATTACCCTGGAAGCAAGCAAAAACCCTATGAGGTACCTAAATCAAAATATTTTTGGCAACACATTTGATTTTGTGTGGTAACATGCCTTGGTTTCTGATGGCGTTGATTGTGCCCCTCCAGAAGGCAAGTCCAGACTCCTTCAAGGCCTTCCAGGTCTGTGAGCAGCAGTATAACACGTGTTGTCCGGAGAGGTCTGCATTTTCACACATATATTATATGCATGTATTTTAGTTTGTGTTATGCAAGTTATTTTTGATGCATGAACTTTTTGCCCACTGCTCTGAGTTATACGTCATATTTTATGTACGCATTACAGGAGCAGATAGTGCAGGTGTTGATGCAAATGGAAACTCATTTGATTTCACAACAAAACTGCTTCATCTGGCATGGCATCCAACTGAAAATTCCATAGCCTGTGCTGCTGCAAACAGCTTGTACATGTATTACGTATAAGTCATAACAGGGGAGATGTAGTTTTCTTGGTTAGCATTTTTGGGTTGCTTTTCGAGAAAGGTCTCTCTCGCAGCAACTTGAGGTTCTACCATTTCTCACTTCCAGGTGCCTTGCAAAGGTGTAGTACATGCTTTTGATGTCAAGGTCCGGATGTCGCTGAAAGGATCACCAACAGAGCGACATAGTCTTTTTGAGTAGACGGATGGCCTGGGATTCTCGCTCCCTTATTCCCGTTTCTGCTTCACCCTTTTCTCTAAATCTCCTATTTTGTTGGGTTGAAGTTGGGAAAGAATGTTATTCTCCTACAAGCAAAACTGTTGGATGTGCAAAATTGCCACTAGTTCTAAGGTAAATGTAGTTTTATCCTAATCTTGCCGAGAAGGAGCTACTGCTAACTGGCAGGATGTTACGCCTTTTTCCTTGGATAGCATTATTTTTTGTAGGATAACATAGTGTGCTTTTTGTTATAGATTATTAACTGAAGTAAATTTTTTCCCTTCTGTAAAAGAAATTCAAGAGCAACTGCATTTGTTTACCTGTATTTTTTAACTTTGGTAAAGTGAAGCTGGAACTGCTAAACTTCGGTCACTTCAGAATCTCTGTGTTTAAACAGTTTAATTGATAGAGTTTCTAGTTTTACTTTGCTTCTGGAGCCATGTAATGGAATCAACTTGGAAAGATTTTCTGAGATGGGAAGAAACCTTTGTAATATTGTTTATCTTTAGAGTGTTGATCAGTTTCTTGCCCCATTTGACTTCGGTGTATCAAAACCTCATCAGAAAAATTGCATATTTGGAGTAAATTATGGTCCAAGTTGCTGTTATACTTTGCCGTTTTACCAAACATGACATTTCAAAACTCACTTCATATATACCAAGATAACGTTCAACACCTTGTAGCCAAACTATGGGTTGTAAAGAACATAGATCGGTAAACATGTTTCAATACCTATAGCCAAACTATTTTGATGAAGAAAATGACAGTAGCAACTTCTACGTTGTTTCTGAATACTAATTTACAAATAAAAAATTGATTCTATTAGTCTAAAGGTAATCAAATTAATCGTCAATAAGTAACACATACTCCACTTAATAAATTGGGATTATGTCAATATCCCTTGAAGATCTAAAATTGCTTTATTCGAGATTTACTTACGAGTATAATTCCTTGATACGTATCACCTGGAAGTAAGTTATAATTTTGAATCCCTAGTTTGACCCCTTTAGATATTTTCTTTTTTTGGTTTGTTAATTGACCCCTTTAGATCTAAATCAAGTCGATCTTAATTATCTGAAATCGGGAGTTATTAATTCCTTTCGCGGGTTCAATTCGTTGAAACACAATAAAAAAGATTTTTTAACAGATTATTTTTTGCAAATAGAGACGAAAGAATAACATGGAAGAGGAGAAGGGTTTACTATATTTACACATTGATGTAGCAACTCTACAATATTTACGTTAATGTATAAATATAGTAAACTCTATTCCTCTTCCATTCATTTTTATTATTTTATCAATACTCTCCTCATCTACCACAAACCAAAATGGAAATTGCATGTATAAATACCTACAATCTCCACTCTTCCTTCTCAAAAACAGTTCCAATCTACCTTTGGAACAAGGAAAGTTTAAAAAGCTGTTCTGAATGATGAAAACTAACAAGCCTTCATATTTCATGTTAACTCTTCTATTTACTATACTAATAACAATTTCAAGTACAAGTTTTGTGCATGGATTTAACGTGATTGATAAATGTTGGAGAACAGATCCAAATTGGAGGAATCACAGGCAACAATTAGCTAAATGTTCTGTGGGTTATTCTGGAAAGATGACTAATAATATTGGACCCGACGTGGTACAATATATGGTTACAGATCCTAGTGACGATCCCCTAAACCCTAAACCCGGAACCCTCAGATATGCGATGACACATATCAATGGAAAGGTTTGGGTAACTTTCCAAAGAGACATGACTATTAGGCTCCAAAACCCTCTCTTAGTTAGCAGTTTCACAACCATTGATGGCCGTGGAGTTAAGGTTAACATTGCTGATGGTGCTTGTCTAATGCTCCAAAGGGTATGTACCACTAGACAATTTTACTAAGAGTTTAACATATATATTCTGACAATATAAAAGTATTTTTACACTATCAGGTTAATTATAAGATAATTAACTATAGGTTTGTCCCCAAAAAATGGGATTAGTAACCTGAAAAATAACATGGAAAATGAGATTATTAACCTGGAAAATAAGACAAGTTGCCTTCTATAACATGTTAAAATACACTAATAATAAAAAAATCTACACTATCCATGTATATTAAACCGTTTTCCTAATAGATATTAGACATAGGAGGAACTAGTCCTTCCAAGTGGATCCTACAATTTTTGGCTCGAATTTTATGTATACATACATATAAGGGTGGCAATTTGAGCCCAAACCCAATTGACTCGTCTAATCTGTCCAAGGTTATGTTGGTCATTGACCCGCCCATTTGTTGAACCCAACCCATCTTAACCCAACATAATTTAGCCCATTTAAAGTTGGGCTGATTTTTAGCCCAAATTGATCCATGAATAACTTTGCTAAAATATCTTTAAAATAACTTTCTTTTTATTTGATATGTCACATTTGACCAATTATAAAAGAAAAAAGTCTTATTTGATAATTAAACAATCCATAAGAAAACAATACACATTAATTAAAACTTGGTAAGAGTTGAGTGGGTTGGGTGGGTTGGGCTATGACCCAAATTTTAGCTCAACTTAACTCAACTCATCTAAGCCCAAGTTACTTTTGGATGGGTCAATGACCCGACCATTTATTGACTTAGCCCATTTTGTCCTGCCAAAAATCAACCCAACACACACATTTGACACCCATATATACATAGTATACATATAATATACAAATAGATAGCACAGTAGCACACACGAATTCACTAGTTCTAAATTCAGGATACGTCTCTAACTACTATATGTACGTAATTGACTGTCATGTTTTGTTTTGTTTTTTAGTAAATAATATGATTTTTCACATGATTTTTTTAGGTGACAAATGTGATAATTCATGGTCTAAAAATCCACCATTGCAAGGCACAAACAGCATCAACAGTCTTAGGACCTGATAAGAAAATAGTAAATGTGGGTCCAGTGGATGGAGATGCAATTAGAATGTTGACTTCTTCCAATATTTGGATTGACCACAATACCCTTTTCGATTGTGAAGATGGTTTAATTGATGTCACTCGTGGTTCTACTGATATTACCATTTCCAATAATTGGTTTAGGACCCAAAATAAGGTTATGTTATTAGGTCATGATGATGGATTTCTAAGAGACAAGAACATGAAGGTTACTGTTGCATTCAATTATTTTGGTCCTAATTGCAACCAGAGAATGCCAAGGTACTCTACAAATTAAATAATTGTTACATTCAAGCTGAATTTTATGATTTTTTAGTTTCTTCAAACTACAAGATAAATGACTTTATCTTTATATTGAACATGAAGTGCTCCACATATATGAGTAACTCAGGAGACATTTCTATTTTTCCACCGAAAATAAATTGAAAATTTCCGCTGCTTATCTTTCAATTCATCTCCGACCATCAAATGAGATGTGAATAACCCGTTCTTCTCTCTTTGAAAGAAGGAGAGTTGACCAGTGTAGGAAAGAGGAATGTATGCATTTAAAGTATTCCCCTATATAATCTAATTTGTTTGACACTATTTTCTTATTAGTTGTTCTAAAACGAGTGATACATTTTTATATTTGAAAATAATTTAACTTTTTTGTTTTTACTTAATATTATTTTTGGAATTTCCATTGATTAATTTTGTAGGGTTCGCCATGGATATGCACATGTGGTAAACAATCTATACAAGGGATGGGGAAACTACGCAATAGGGGGAAGCATGAACCCAAGCATTAAAAGCCAAGCCAATTATTTCATTGCACCTAAAGGAGGAAAGAAAGAGGTAAACCTTTTAACATTCAGTTTTCTTCATTCTTGTTAATATGGTCTCGAATTTTTAGGGTTTCTTATTCGGTGATTCTCTTAAACAACATCAAATAATTTTCTTTTATAAATATGAAAATGTGGTACGTCTAGTAGTGGTGTCTCGGATCAAAAAAAAAAAAGGCAGTCTGGTACGATAAGCTCTAGCTATGCGCGAGGTTCGAGGAAACGCCGGACTACAAGGTGGTGTCTCAGATCTAATTATCTAAAATAAATAAAATGAAGTGCTCCTTTTATAATAACTTAAAATTTTAGATGAGATGGTCAGAACAAAATGAAATAAACCAGATTGAGACAATTGACCCCTACTAGTTTAGAAGTTGATTGATGTGATATGTGAATCCCACAAGTTGGGTATATAAATAGACATGCCATATACTCTAGTGACGCGTTTTAAAGCCGTACGGGCCTAAGCTCTAAGCGGATAATATCACTGGGGTGTTACAATTAATTGATGAAAATGATGGTGCTACAGATAACATGGAGAAAGCAGGGTGGAGTTGGTGAAGTTTCATGGAATTTCCAATCTGTTGAAGATGTATTTGAGAACGGAGCATCTTTCAGCGAATCGGGTTCGGGTCGTGAGTCCGTGAAGCCTAACTATCTACCAGATCAAGCTTTTCCAGTGGAAGAAGGAAAAAATGTCAAGGCCTTGACTAGAAATGCTGGTGCTCTAAAATGTTCCTCTACTTCTAACTGCTGAGTACATTGCTAATGTTCACATCTTTGGCTGTCTTATTTATTGTGTTTCTGTAGTATTCTTTACTTGGAAAATGGATATACGGTCCATATAAAATCTCTTCTGAGAATTGAGAAGGGAATAACGTTGTTGTATATATATATATATATATATATATGTGTGTGTGTGTGTGTGTGTGTGTGTGTGTGTAGGGAATTAACCTCAAAATGGAGTAGTAATTATATGCAGGTGATGAGCTATGTTGTATGGATTTTAATACCTTGGATCTGTAGTTATTTCGTGCAGATTTTTCAAAATACATAAAAAGTTAGCAAAAACTACACATACCAATATTCACACTTGTATTATGTGTGTGCCAGCATCAGAAGAAACCTTAATCGGCCGGGTTTTTTTAACTTGAACTTATCCCTCATGTATTGCAAGATCCCAATAATGAAATTCTGTTATTCCTTTTGTTCCATTTTGTTTGGCATTATTTCCTTATTAGTTCGTTTAATCACACTTTTATATTTTTTTAATAAAAAACTTCTATAATTACACAAATATTATGGCAAGCTATGTTGCTCAGACTCTTCAAAAATATTATACCACCCGTATCGACAGTGGCGAAGCCAGGATTTTCATTAAGAGAAATCAAAATATAAAGAAATAAACTCACCAAGAAGTCAAATGGTGTCATTATTTAGTATNGACGAAGGGGTATCAGTTGACACCCCTTCGGTGCGTGTGGCTTTGTCGCTGTGTGTCAAATTCTCTAAAAATATACTACTTTTGGAGGATCCGATACGCACCAGACGACATTTTCAAAGAGTCTAAGCAACATAGATGACAAGTTTAAGACCATAAGTTTTAGAAACCTTATAGTTACACAAATGTTATGGCATATATATGACTATAAATTTCAAAAGTCTACCTTTCTTTCTTAAACTTCAATCCAAGTCAAACTATACCAATCGCTCTTCGCTTTCCATAAAAGGATCTCTCTGCAGCATTAGTTTTTATTAAGCTATGGCCTTACGAACTACAATTGCATTTTGGATTGGAGACTTCCACATGAATTTCATTTAAAAAGACGACAGGAATATCACTTCAAGTATTCTCTTCCTTAGTGAACCATTTGGCTTTCCTTATCAAAGTTCTTAAACTCAGAGCTCATTCTAATTTTTGAAGACAGCACTAGCGCACCTTCTTTGTGCATCTAACTGGATAATTGCCAAGCAAAATATTCAACGTAAAATTACGCAGGCTTATATCCGTCTTGATGTTATGAGATTGTAAACCGTAAAACGATGAAAGAATCTAACAGGCCAGGAGGCAATTTTGGTGAAAAACAAAAACCAGATGCCAATAAACAACAAATAGTCAGTACCAAAGGACAAAAGCCCTTTGGTCCAGAAAATAACCAGTTGTAATAATAGTCTATATTTGCCTAAATAAACCATTCAGTACGTCCGAAAAAGTCTTCCCGTTGAATTTCCAAGGAGGGACAAGTGTAATAAATTACACTCAGACGTCGAAGTAAACGTAACAGAATAATCATGTGTAACGCGACCCACTCTAATACATGAATGTCCAATATGTGAAACAAACCCAAACGGACGACTTCAATCACATGGGAACTACACGGGCCTTGTACACGCAAATATAAGCCATATGCCAATCACCTGAAACCAAAAATAAAGCACTTTTATCAATAAACTGCCGGAAAGAAAAACACATTCAGGCGCACACGCAACAAATTATTCCATCTGGTTTACATCTTGATGTTACAAGAATGGATATGTTTGCCAGACTGAAAATTTGCCGAAGACGTAATACACTAGTGATTCACTTACCACCTCCTGAAAGTTTAGGGATGTCCTCTTCTCTCTGCGGAATTGGATTGTCATCATCAAATTGAACCCACTTTCCTGTGGTTTACAAAGAGATTTTCAATATCTTGTATCAGACGGTAGTCCAAGAGCAACAATTACTCAGAACAAAATATCTTCCCAGTTAAACTGACCGTTTTCTTGCTTGACCCAGGCAACATAATGCCCCGAGTCTGCACTTCTTCCCTTGTGAGTCAGCACGGCCACCAAATCATATATTCCAGTCAAGTGGTGCTCCTTCTCAGGCAGAACACCTGAAATGGAGTTTACATAATTGGGCATCATTTAAAAAAAAAAAATAGAACTAATCATTGTGACTCCTCATTCATAACAGAAGTCCAAAATTGAGCTCTTAGACTAACCTCCCCTTCTATATCAGAAACACTAAACTGTTGATAAATATTGATCATTCACAACTACTGCTCCCAATCCAGAACTAGTTAGAGTCCCTCATATAAATCCCCGACATTCATTCTGCTCCATCTGGGCCTAGTTCATTCCAATACTCAGAAATTTTCTTTTAAGACAAGTTATGGTGTTATCCAATGCTAGAGGTTCTCCACATTTTCAACATACAAACAAATGTCTAAACAAATTAAAGGACTCCAAGAAAACATCAACTTAATGTAAGTGTATCAACAGAGCTAAACCTTAAGGATCTTCCACAGTTCTATAAATTAAAAGGCATCCCCTTCAATAGAAACTTGTAAAACATCTGGCTGGTGTTTAGGGACATAGAGTAATTTAAAAAGGAAAAAATCCGCTACAGTAATAATCTTTATGGGATCCCAAAATTGTTAATAGAAGGTCAATCGCTCGTAATCAAAGATATTAACAGTGACTTTGTGAAAAGAAGTTTGTATCCCAGTGACTTTGTGAAAAGAATTTTGCATACGCAACGCAGAACATTGTTGTCATACGAACTGCAAAACCTCATGGAATCCTAATATTACTGCAGAATTATAACTGACAATTAACTAACAGAGTTTCCTTTAAAGCATTGAAAATGCTATGGAGTTGGAAGGTAATTCCATGAAAATAATTTTTCTCCCAAACATTACAATTTTAACGGCAGACATTGTTACCAATTAAAATACAGCAGCAGCATATGTTTATTAAGTCATCAAGAAAAGGAAGCGTTTCTCTACCTTCTTGGGTTGTTTTAGATGCTTCTCCACTTCCACTAGATGATTCCTGCATAAACAATAGGAAAAAAAGGAGGAGAAAAGGCAGAAGTTACTTTTAGACATTCTTAATTTCCCACTTTAAACCACCTTGTACAGTCCGCCATAGGTGGGCCCAGAAGGTCCGTCTTTATCCCCCTTGAGTCACTCCTACATTACAAAGATTAATTCATACCTCAGCCTCAGTCATTTTAACGTCGCCGTCAGTTGAGCTTGAAGTTTTCCCACTGGTTTTTAAACCGGCCTTCTTACCTTCAGCATCCCTCAAAACCTAGCAGCAAATTTAGAGTCACGTAATAATAGAACAAGAAAGAGAAAGAGGGGCCAAAGGGGGTCTGGTTTTTCCTCATTTCTTAAAGACATTGATCAATGGGGAAAAGGACATTACCTGGCGAGGACCTTCCAGTTTCTTGCGGAGGTCTTCCGAACAAAAATCATATACATCCAACGACAGCGGGTAATCCACTTTCTGATGGCATAGACATAGTTTAAGATTACCATTTCTTATACCTTTAAGCAACGAGAGATCCAATACATGCACAAAATATGAATTACGATTTGAAATATTAGCAAACCTGTATTACTAAAAAAGCAAGACTTGCTGAGTTTTAATACGAGATATGACTGTTGTTTGAAGCATAGCAAAATTGTAGTTTCTTAGATTATCATTCTTTTAAGAATAGCTTCAGACATTATCATTTAAGTTCCTGATATAACTAAAATCCATCACGTCACATTTACAACTTGTTGTCACATCACTACTAGCGGTGGGTGGAAAAGGAAGTGACCATTCTATTTTTGTCCACAATAAGTTTTATACGTGACAAATGGGTGGTCTAGGTTGGATATGGGTGACATTAACATGAACCTTAGTTAATTCGCCAGGACCCATCCTCTGTTACCTTTCAAAAAAAAATTAGCCAGAACATATCCCAGCCAATATTGGCTAAAAATGGTTGTGATCTCTAATCCAATGCATTCTTTTTCTTTTTCTTTTCTTTTTTCTATTATTCCCATATTCAATGGATTCTTAACCACAAAGACTATGTTACACCGAAAACACTACTAGAATAAGCTCTTTAGCTCTTTAAAAGTTATAACCAATTGAACCTACGGCTTGATGCATCCCCTACCCAAAAAAGGAGAGACAAAAAGAGAAAAACTACCAAGTATGATACCATTCTTACATAATACTCCCTCAATTTCGTTTTATTGTGACCCTATTTGACTAGGCGGGAAGACTTTTGAGACTTGTGGTCTTAAACATGCCATAACATTTGTATAGTTATATAAGACTTTTGAAATTTCAGGCTTTAAACATGCAGAACAAATGTGTGGCTATATCGCTTTCCATTAAGAGTAAAAATGAGAAAATTTAGTTAAATTATTTCCAAATTTAAAAAGGGGTAATACTTTAATAAGCAAACTAAAAAGGAAATAAAGTCACATAAACTTAAATAAAAGAAAATTTATTTTGGTAAGTTTAAAAAAAAACCTTACTACTTTCCAATCAACCATCTAAATAGTACAGATAGGGAACTACAACACAACATTATGCATACAGAACCATGAGGTCTCAGTCTCAAATCCCAGCGTAGACAAATACTAGGCGATATCTTCTATCTGCCTAAGCCTTGATGGATAGAGTTACCCAAATACCTGTGCTGGTGGGAAGTAGTAGGTACTCAATGGAATAATCGAAGTGCGCAAAAGCTAGTCGGGACACCACCATTAAAAAAAAGAAGAGAGAAATACGTATACAAAAAGGTCATCAGATGGAGAGAAGCTGGGAACCTCACAAGCCTGCTTTCTTTTTCCTCTTTTCACTTCAGTTTTGGAATAGGTAAGGACACCCACCCCACCCAGGTTACCCATGTTCAACACAATATCCTGAATCTAAGATATCTGAAACACCCAGTAGAACTACTTTGCAGATCCCAGAACTTATGGCAATGGGTGGGCTCTTATCCCCGAAGGCCGAATCTAGGAAGAAGCTTTTCAGATATTTTTGAATGTTAAGAAACTCTACTTATCTTGTATCAACACAAAAGGGACAAAAAAAATTAAAAAAAAAAAATCAGCTTCTCACCAGAACTCTTTTTCAAAAAAAATATTATGTACGTACTATCTCACTAGAAAAGCAAAGCATTAATATCACATCCTTCTCTTACTATTTATTTCTAGTAGCTGAAATCTAGTCATTGAAGCATAGGAACTCCTCTGTAATTATGCCCAAGTTACACCTACTCCAAGATCAAAACAGAAACTTAAGAGAAGTTTCAGTTAATTTTTTATTGCAAAGACATTGTAGACCAAGACTCCCACAACGAC